CCGGATGAAGGTCGGATTATTCCTATCAATTAATCCTATAATATATATATATATATATATATATATATATATATATATATAAATTCTTTAGTCATATTTTGTTCCCTTGATGTATGAAAGCCACCTTTCAATCAAATCATATTAAGAAGCAAATCACACGTGTTTCATATGCTAAGCATTCTTCTCCACAATGAATGTTGGGCTATTAACATATACCCAAAACAAGACACATAAAATGAGACGAATGTAGTAGTAATTATTGCCCACCTTCGCTCCTTATCTTTCTTCTTCCATTTTATTCAAAACCCATCTTCACCGTAACCTTCAATCATCATCTTCACCATTATCATCTTCTAGGATCTAGAAAAATGAGTGAAGTTCGAGAGTCGCCCGAAGCTAAGGTCATGGAAAATCAAAGATGAACACTTGATAGAAATTTTACTTGTGTGAAATTTTATAAAATTTCTCTACATAAAAAAGTGTCTATATACAAACAATGCTTTCTTTCAATATGTATGTATACAGACAAAACGTTGCAGAGAAGTCAGGGTTAGGTTTGCACGTAAACCAATGTATGTGTACATAGACAAAGTATGTATATGTGCAAAAAGTTTTGTCTATACACAAACAACTCGTGTTTGTATGCGAGACATTAATTTCTATGCAACAAAACACTAATGTTTATGTTAAAAAGCCCGCAAGTCAAGGTGATTTACATGCTAACCAATGTCATCAACATATAGACATGCCAATAGTTGTCTATATACATAAAAATCTTTATATCCATACATTTTTACAAATATTTACTAATTTTTCAATTTAAAATCTTCACATAGACAAATTTTATCAAAGTTTAGGTTGACAAACACAATATTATACTCCGTAGTAATGGTATGGACAATAATTCTAGCAACATTTTTGGTAACTTCAACTCTAGTTGTTTTTCCAATAACTTAGGTGATGATAAAGTAGGTGAGATGAAGAATGACACAAAATGATATGATGAAGATGGAATGTGATGGAGATGGAAGACAATGAAGAAGGAAGACGAATAAGATTGAAATTGTGAAGATGAGAGGTTTTGGGTACGGTAGATTATGAATATAGAAGGTGATGAATATGAAAGAGGATTAAGATATTTGATGAAGATGAAAGAAAGAAAAAAAAGAGAGAACCGTATGGATGGAGAGAAAGGGAGGGAAGTTAAAGAATGCATAGTAGTAAATTTTAACCCCCTGTACAGGATATACACAGATGTATGCAATGATGTACACCTAGTATTATTGTAATCATTATTTGAGATAACAAGCATCTTCATTAGTAATTATTATTTGAGTTAACGAGCACCTTCATTAACATTCCTCAAATGCAATGTGGTACCTTTCATTTTTTTGTGTCATCTTATGAGATGTAAAAAATCTAGCTTATATTCTCTATTATTTTAAAATAGAGAATCTTTGTCAACAATGCACTCATATAATAAAATTTGTGATATATATATACACAAATATTCCGGTCAGGAATTTCCTGACCGGAGCCCCGTCCGGTCTCCTCTATTTGGGGGCCTTCCTGGTGGTATCTTTTGCTCAAATTTTTTGTGTATGTTTCTCGTCAAGTCTAGTTCATCCATACCAAATTTCAGCAAACAATTCAATCGGGAAGGTCGTCAAATGATTTTTGCAAGTTAACTGGTCCGGAATATGTATTTTCCGGACCAGTTAACTTGCAAAAATCATTTGACGACTTCCCCGATTGAATTTTTTGCTGAAATTTGGTATGGATGAACTAGACTTGATGAGGAACATACAAAAAACATTTGAGCAAAAAATACCACCGGGAAGGCCCCCAAATGGAGGAGGCCGGACGGGGGGTCCTATCCGGAAATTCCGGACAGAAATAGCCCTATATATATATATATTCAATATATATATATATATATTGTTAGTTGAGGAAGCGGTTCAGCGTAGATTACTCCAGACTCCCCCAGCCCCCCTCCCCCAGACTCCCCCTGGAGTAAAACAAAAAATTCAATATTGTTAGTTAAAAAATTAAATAAATTGCAATAGAAATACTGATATTGGGTAATAACATATTCAATTACTCATACAATCTAAATTAATCACCAATCACTCTTTGTTCAACCATTTTTACACATTCAATATTGTCAACTGACTAGGGTTGGTTTGCAACTCCTTTTAAAAGAGCACGTCTCAGCTTTTGGCTTTAAAAAAGCACTTATTTTCCCAAACACCACAACTTTTATTTTTCTCGGCTTCCGCGTCAAAAGTGCTTTTACTTTTTCTATTACAGAAAAAACACGTATTTTACCAAACACTACCCACTTTTACTTTTCAAAATCACTTTTTTCTCAAACACTATCAACTTTTATTTAATCACTTCTCCCCATTTCATTAAAAAAGCACTTTTTTAAAAGCATAAGTTGTTGCAAACAGACCTTTAGTGACTTACCATTTCAACATTCACCAAACAGAGCTTTAATTATATACCGCAATTGGGATACTCATTATAACCATTTCATCATTTACCAACTGATCATAATTTCTAGATATGTTTCTAAATCTAATCTAATATAGTACATATTCGAGATAATTTTAATATTTTTGAATGGGATGAAATTCAAACTTGTAATATTATCTATGGGGACCAGTAGTGGTACCCAATGATCTAAAAATCGGCATTGTTGGACCGATTACTCGGCCTAGTGGGCGCCTAGGGGACCCTACACCGCCTGACTTAGGGGTGTGCTCAGTTTATTCGGTTCGGTTTTGACCAAAAACCATATACGGAACTGTAGTGAACAGTTTGGTTCGGGTTTACATATCAAAACTTGAAACCGTGGTTTTATTGGTTCGGTTTGTTTTGGCCCGGTTTCAATTTTTTTCTTTTTTTTCTCTAAAAATTGTTATTTGAAATAAAATGATACGGTAGTTGGAGGGATCAAACATATTACATAAGAATTCAAGCATACTAGAACAAATAAAATTAAAAAAAAAATATGTCTTGAATTATACGAGTATGCGGGAGGGATAACAGTGTTTACATTGTTGGTGACTAGTTTGAAAAAAGTTAACGAATCTATACATTCTACTTGATATAGTTGAAATGAATATTTATTTGTTCTATCAATATAAAAACTTTAAGTTAAATAAAAGTAAAAGTTAATTACTAGTAAGATGTAGTAAATATGTTACCATCATGTAACAAATTACAACATACATACAAAAAATACATAACAAATCAATATAGCTACATTATTACAAGTAATGAATGTGTAAATATATTTATAAACTAAACTAGACATAACATAGAAATAAATTTTCTGGCACAAGATAACCAAAGATTAACGATGACATTAGGTTTATTAGGATTAATGCTTAACAATTAACAAATAAATTTTCACATTTTAATTGATTCGGTTTATTCGGTTTGGTTCAGTTTTGAATGGTAAAAAACCAAAACAAAACCAAACAACTGCGGTTCAGTTTTTTACATTTAGTTTCGGTTTTTAGAGGTTCGATTTTATTTAGTTGCAATTTGATTTATTTTGATACAGTTTTCGGTGTTTCGAATCCAACCGTAACCTGACTAGCGCCAAACGACTTTTAGAACAATGGTGATGTCATATGACAATTAGTCAACCAGGTACTTCACATTAATTTATGATTGGTGCTACTTGTACACATTTGTTGTACACACTCCTAATTGCCCATTTACACAGACAACTTCTGAACAAGCTGCTTGTGTACACAAGCACCCAGGGGATGTGTATTAAAAATATGTACAACCTATTTTCAGCTATGCTGGGTGTACCCAATTTTGGGGTAACTATCTGTACCTTACCTATTGTGTGGTTCACAAAAGCAAATCATTTAAATGAGTTGTCCCACGTAAATGAATTACCCCATTTAAGTCACACAATAAGGGTGAGTACAAATAGGGTACCCCAAAATGGGAACCTACTACGGGTTCAAATAGTATTTTTGAACAAATTTTTCCTTGATTTATACGTGTTGGTGCTATAATAAAAATTATATGGACTAAAATGTGTGAAGGTTGTTTATTTACCTAAAATGTAATGATCTATGACACAATAAAATGCCAAGCTCACTTGTTAAGAGGCCCAATATAGCCTACAAGATGGAGTAGAGTTCGCCCAGAAGCGCAAAAGCCTTTACCATCATTCTTAATCGTGTTGCCTATAGACTTTGCGGCCGTCTCCCTTCAGGTATCAGATTACTTAAGCTTTGGTTTGGGTAGTCTTGTTTCTCACGTTTTTGGGTAACGATATGGTTACATGACTACGACTCCACGTTGAGTTCGAGTTGTTTCGACGATTCGTTCTCCACGGTATGCTAGCATATGACCCAAGGCCAGGGTCCACGAAACTATAGTTGGTTATCTGATAAGCTCTTTTATAGTTCTATTTGTAAGGGCTTAAATACAAGATTAATTGAATATGTGGAAAATTAGATTATCAGTTATTTTTAAGGAAATACAAGATTAATTGAATACGTGGAAAATTAGATTATCAGTTATTTTTAAGGAAATAAAAAGACAATTTCCTCAATGGATATATGACTTTCGTTATATAGCTATTTATATGTGGAATAATTTTTCCACCATGTTTATAGGTACATGAACAAGCTAAGAAATATCTCAAATTAAAACGAAATTAAGGTAGAGTTGTTGTGAAACCTGTTGTTGAACTTTGTTGAACAACTTCCTATTTTCCTTATTTGGATGTCCCTAATTTAAATTCCCATTTTCTTAAATAGAAAGTTATATACATCAAAACAATGCAAAACAATGTCAAACAGTGTATCTACAGTAAAATCAAATTTATTTTCTTAATATGTGTAGGTCAAATCGAAAATTCTTTCTGAGGACAGAGGGAGTATTTATTTGTAGGGGTAGTTTACATATTTGAACCAATTCTATTTATTACGGAGTAATATTTAATTAATGGCAGTAAATAGTAATTGGGGACAGGAAATAGAATCCCCAATTTAACGACCAATGACCCAATGATATGCTTAGCCTACTTGTTAAGAGGCCCAACATAGTCTACAAGGAGTAGGGTTCGCCCAGAAGCGCAAAAGCCTTACCGTCATTCAGAATCGAGTGCCTACAGACTTCGACGCCGTCTCCCTTCAGGTATCAGCGTTTTTTGTGTTCCTTTATCACTGCTTTCTCTTTTCCTTCGCCGTCGTTGACACCCCTAATCCGGCGTATCTGTGTAGTTATTGCCGAAAAATGTCGGTCGGAGAAATCGCTTGCACCTACGCCACTCTGATCCTCCACGAGGAAGGCATCCCCGTCACTGTAATACTCTAATCACCTCCCCGGATCTCATTACTCAACTACTCTCTCCGTTTCCTTTTCCTCCGATTGCTGGTTTATTGTAATCATTTGTGGTTATGCAGGCGGAGAAGATCGCCACGATCGTGAAGGCGGCCGACGTTCAGGTGGAGTCCTACTGGTTTAGCCTCTTCGCCAAGCTCTGTGAGAAGAAGAACATCGATGACCTCATCACGAACGTAGGTGGTGGCGGTGGTGGTGCTGCGGTTGCCGTTGCTGCCCCGTCCGCTGGTGGTGCCGCTGCCGCTGCTGCTCCTGCCGCTGAAGAGAAGAAGGTGAGAATACTTGTGAATTATCTGGCAGTGATTTAGTTAATATATTTATATATCATCGTAATAATTTCCGAAAGTGCTCTAAGTATGTAGAGATCCTCTATGATTGATGTGTTTACTAAGGGTGTAAATGCTTGTTTTTTCAGGAGGCCGTTGAGTCCGAGAGTGAAGAGGAAATGGGACTGGGATTGTTTGATGACTAGAGTCTAAAGTTTCTTTGAAATGTTAGCTTATGGTTTGCAGACATTTTTGATAAGTTTATCATACTCATATCTCATATCGAGAACTTATGAACCCTGTGGTTGATATTTCCATTAATATCTACGTGAATCTAATTTTTTATGAGGATATCTGACAGTTTTCAGCTTTTCTCTGGTAATGCAAATCACAAAACACATTGTTGTATATGCTTTCTTCTGTGATCCTCTCTTGTGGTTTGATGATTTTGATTTGGGTATCGATATATTGGGTAATGTGATCAACCTTTAAATCTGGGAGATGCATTGATGCTAGTCATTGTTGTGGTTAGTGAACCTTGTTATTTTTTATATCATCTGAGTTACTAGCTGGTTGTCTGTTGCTTGATATCGGTGTTTATTTCTGTTTGGTGTTTGATGATTTTGATTTGGGCACAAGTACATTGGGTAATATGATCAACGTAGACATCTGGGTGATGCATTGATCCAAATTTTTGTTGGAATTAGAACCTTTTTTTTGTTTATATTCTATAGTCGTTAAAACATTGTGTAATATGATCAATGTTTAAATTTCGGAGATGCATCGAGTCAAGTTTCTGTTGTGGTTAGTGAACCTTGATATGCATTTGTCAATTGTTATTTCTTCTGTGTTCCTAGCTGGTGGCCTGCGGCTTGATATTCTAGTTTATTTCCTTTTGGTGTTTGATGATTTTTATTTGGGCATCAATGCATTAGGAACCTTGTTATGTGTTTATATTCTACACTTGAAGAGTACTTTGTGCATCCTACGATTTGCAGAACACTTGAAGAATGCCATTCTGAAATATAATCTAGGCTTCCAGCAGTAGTTCTAATTTTCCAAACTGAACGTTTTTATATGGTTTGAATCCTATTTTATTTTATATGAATCCTTGTAATGAGAATGACTCAATAAGATGAACTGAACAGCTTCTCGATATAAACTCTTCTCGCTATTTTCCTATCACTATTCTCTTCACGAGTTCATGGTGTAGCTCAAATCATTTCTTGCACTAGCAGTCTAGCAGTAGTTAGTTTATGGACAATGCTGACAAATAGGCCTTATGGTCTTGGTTCAGCGGTGGACCAGTCACCCCTTGATGTACATATACTTGGTCTACTCGTAATTGATTTTGCTCGATCTTGTTCTGGGCTGGTTCCTAACAGTTTGGTTCTTACAATTGTCTTGTTTGTACTGTGTATACTATGGATATTCTTAAACATACCACTAGTCAATTCTTATTTGTGCTCTAAATGGCGTGAAAATAATCCTGCAAAAAGGCCTCCCATACCTGGTTTTACTTGGATTGTAATTTGCTGGTCTGGTCTGAAATGGTTTGGTTTGGTCTGGTTTTTTTGTATTTTTATAACTACCCAAGTCTGGTTTGATTTGGTCTGATGAAGTAAAAACATCCTCATCTGTCTTGAAATATTTTGGTACTAGCTTTCAAGCCCGTGCGATGCACGGGCAGTACATAATTTAGCTAATTGTAAATTTGATATTTTTGGAATCATGTACGTATGTAGTATAATATAATGTGATGCAAAAGGAAAATAAACTCAGTCTAATATAAAATTAGTTGAATTGTATGACTCTACCGTAATGAACTAAATCTAACTGATCGGGCTAAATTGACAGAATCTCCCAAATTATGAAAAAGTAAAATAAAATATACTACGTATTACGTATATAATTAATAAAACAAATTAAAATTTATATGAAAAATATTTAAAATGGACTTGTACATAAGCATCTGAACTAAACATAATTGTTATGAATCCGATTTTAAAGAATTCACACAAAAGTTTCTTAATTAACTTCACATTATATTACTTCATTAAGCATCTTAAAATACTATTTTTTTTAAATATTTCTCATTCAACATGGTATGAAATAAGTATTTGTAAATTTATTAGTAAGATCATACATTTTACTCATTATTTCGTCACATTGAGAATGTAAGAAAATGGATCATTTTTACAATTTACCAATTTATTTCGTCACATTGAAAACGTCATTAATAAGATATACTCACTTCGTCCCCCTTATATTGTCTCATTTTACCTTTTTGGGAAATCCCACTAAAATTGTTTCATACCATATTTGGTAAAGTTTGTGTGACTCTAAATCATTCTTATTTATTCTTACTTTATCAATTAATATCAACAACACAAACCCACTTTTCTTAAAAATCGTGTCACCCTCTTCTGTCTCAATATAAGAGGAACGGAGGTAATATTAAATTAGATTGACTTTTTCAGTTCTAATTTGGTCTGAAGTAATATAGTGTGGAAGATGTCTATTATATGTACAATAATAATAATAATAATAATAATAATAATAATAATAATTTTTGTTATTTTGATTGATGTTTGATCTGATCTTGTCTGAGACTAAAATCAGTTGAATTAAAAACATTCTAAATATATGAAGATTTCTTAATTCGTATTAGGAATCTATTACAGAAGTGGGGGAATATTTAAATTATAGTTGTAAAAATAAAGAAACAACTAAACATATATGAATTCCATTCTCATAAAGGTAAGGTGCTTGATCAGAAGTTTTACTTGTCTTCATATATGAACGTCTAATAGTATATATCAATTTCATTTTTAAGTTAAAAAATATTTTGGTTATAATTTCCAATAACTAAGAAAGTATTAACACAATTGCAAATCTATCTAAGCGAAGGCTTATAATTTTAGTCATTATCGCATTGAGTTTAGAAAACATACTGAAAAAGAGATTGAGTTTAGAAAAATAAAATTTCACATTTAGGAAATGGAACACTATTATTACCTTTTTATTTTTATAAAATAACTTTGAAGAACAAAATTAATAGCAATATAGATTATTTATCTATTAGGTGGGGAAAACACGGATAATTCATTTCTCAATAGAATGTAATAAAAAATAAAAGGTGTAAAAAATAATTAAATAATTTATATAAAATATAGTTTATGTGTAGGGATGGCTATAAAAGTTACGTAGTATCAAATAAATATTACAAAAATGTTACGTAGTTTTTTGCAATAATTATTACGTAACTTTTATTATACAATTTGATACAAAATATTTTGTCCAAATATAATGTATTTGATAAATACTTTGATACTTACTTCAAAATATATTTTGATACTTACTAATAGGTTATGTATTATTTGCAATATTTTGATAAAAGGTCATGTATTATTTGCAATACTTTGATACTTGCTACAAAATAATACATAACCTTTTATATATATTTTGATACTACAAAAATAATTAAATAACTTATATAATTTTTTGTCTATAAAAGTTATGTAGTATCATAATATTGCAAATAATATGGAGTAAGTAAAGGTTCTCAAAAAGTTACCTAGTATCAAATAAGGTGGATTATAAAAGATTGTATTTTGTTTCCATATCAATATGCAATAAAAAATAGAATGTAAAAAAATAAAAAAGTAATTAAGTAATTATTATATATGATGACATGGCAGGATTATGTGGCACACCGTATGCTCTTAAAAAGTTCCTCTTTTATATATATATATATATATATTGATTTGTATACATATTTTTCATTTACATTTTTTAACTGATATTAATTTGGAAATATTTAATGTTTCTTCTTTCCAACATCGGTTCTTATTATCAAATTGATGGCTCCGCTATAAATTTTTACTACACCTCGGCCAAAATCGATAACTAATTTACTACCATATTAGAAACCATGTTCTTGTAACCACTCGTCATTTGTCTATGCGACACTTGAAATCTTGCACCAGAGGTTCATTCAAATTTTAGTGTTCATCTTTTAGGCGTCAGAGAGCCATTGGTCTTGGGACGCTCCTTTTGTTGAACCTTTGAAGATACTGTGATGGTTGTCATCTTTGCCAACTCTGCCCTGGAGTTGCACCTATAATGGTCTGTGATGTTCTAATAGCCCTTGTTACTACTTTCTTATAAAAATGGCGGCCTTTTTCAGGTGGCAAATGGCGTGTATTGCACCTAGCGATGGACTGAGCCCGGGTTTACCGGCCCGTTAACCGGCCCGGCCCAGTACTGTGTAGTACCGGCCCGACCCGCCAACCGGGATCGGGACCGGGTCGACCGGCCCAGTGAGGGGGTTTTCAGGGCGGGCTCCGGGTGCAGGAAAATGGGGATTGGCCGGTCCGGGCCTTTTTATTTTTATTTGTTTTTGAATTTTTGGGTTTGGGGCTATGGTAGGTGTGGGCTGAGTGTTTTGGCGGGGTTTGGGGGGGGGGGGGGGGGGGTGAACAAATAAGAAAGCCAAAAAAATTAATAGAATCGACTCGCCCGTGTCCCGGCTTAATCCGGTCTCAGCTCGGCCCGGTCCCGGTTGAATCCCGGGCTCGTACCGGGCCTTAGCTTACCCCAACAAATTATGTTCCAGTTTGGACCGGCCCGGAGCCCGGCCCGGTAGCGGTTCATGCCTAATTGCACCGGTGCGTTAAATTTTATAGAGATTTTGTCACTTTCGTTCTCTCGACTATTGTGTGACACATTTAGTACTCAACTTTTGTTTCTTCTCATTTTAAGTCTCAACTATTGTATTAGAGACACTTTTTGTCATCAACTCAAAGTTCCCCTCTCTAAGTATTAAAATTGACACATTTAGTCATTCCAGTATGATTTTGACACAATAAGTGAAAGACTAAAAAATCATTATTATAATAGTTGAAGGACAAAAAATGTCACTTTTATGAAAGTCGAATAACTAAAATAGTCGAGGATAAAAAATGTTTGTAGAACAATAGTCGAGGATAAAAAATGAAAATATCAAAATTGAGTATCAAAATTGTCAAAGCACAAAATTAATGGACAAATTTAACTCTGCACCCATTTAGGAGCTTAGCCTCTCTATGTGGGAACCAAAGACCACGGTAATTTAACATATGAATTAGGGCTTCAAAAATAAGAAGATGTTGAAGATGCAAGGAATGAAAGAGAAGTTGCCCTTAAGGCTTGAGACTTAAAAAGGAATTGAAGATATAGAGAATTCTGAAGGTGAATGGATAAGATGAACCCGTTTAGTCCTGGGTTTTGATATGCTTCCTAAAATAATAGCAAAATAGCAGAAACAATGAGAAATCCGGTAATATGTGATTTTCATCAAATAAATACTACATGCAAGAGGTTTTTTACATGAATATTACTAAAATAATGTGCTTAAGGACATACACATATAAATATGAACAAAAAATGCTCCTTTCGTCAGAAAAATAATTTTCACGTTTTATATATTTG